TGTACATTTATTCCTCATCTGTCGAAAACTCAACCAATCAGTGTCTATATATATATATTTGTGTATTTGTGTATTTGTGTGTGTAAAGAATCACATTATTTTATCAAAGACAATGACCAAAACATGATTTAGTTACTCATGTTTTGGTCATTGTCTTTGATAAAATAATGTGATTCTTTGCAACAACAGTTCCAACCAACATTGCTCCATGTACAGTGTTTAATAAAATTATTAAATGAATGTTTGCAAGAAGAAGCCACAAACCTTGTTTAATTGTTACACAATAGAAGCTTTAATTTGAGCATTTCTTCCACATACAGTACCAGATGTGTAAAATATACAAACAGATGCAATTGAATCTAAAAGATGTACATATGCAGATTAATGAAGACAAGCTATTTAAACAGGTTTTGACATAATTCTTCACAACATCAATTCATACGTTAATAGATTTTTTTTTTTAAAAGATAATATATAAGGAAATATTTCCAACAGCTGCTTGCAGTAATGAATGTTCATCCAAGAAGTGACTTGAAGTAGCAGGGAGGCTCTAGACTGGTTTGTCTCCTTTTACATCAAGAGGACCCTGATAATTTGATATTAGCCAGCAGCAGATGAACCACAGCTGATTGACTGAACCTCCTGATTGACTGGTACTCCTTCACCCTTCACATGGCCCTCTCTGCTGAAATCCTCAGATGAGCCTGGGTCTTCAGGGCGTCCTCTTTGCTGAGTTGCTGCTGCTGAGAAAGATGGACACAAGAAGAAAGTAAAAAGATAAATTATTAATCATCAGAACATGGAAATGGTTTGACATAGTTTTTAATTCAATATTTAAAATGCTATTCTAAACAACAGTGTTGGAAGATGTCAGAGATTTTACATTAATAAAGTAAACATTTTAATGTTACAGCACTGACAGGCAGCAGCAGTGTAGAGTTTAGCTATTGTTAGCTGCTAGCTAGCTTACTTTACAATTGGAGGCAGTTTCCTTACACAGTTACAGGATGGTAAATTGATAATGCATAACGTTACCACAGCTAACTAACATTTAAATACAGTTTTTATTAACCTTACCTTGCACTATATCTTGTAATTTAACCTCTATAAATAAAGGTTGAATGAATGAAATTCCGTGAAGTTTACAGACAGGTCTCCTGAGGGAGAACAGACCCGGAAGTACTGATCCACATCGAGTCAGAACGTAAGTTGTCTGACGTCATGTGAAAAGGGTCTATTGTAAAAGACTGTGTTTGAATGAATAAAGTATAAACAAACCTTTTCTTTCTTCCTCTTCTTCTTGTGAGATTTATTTGGGTTGGAAAATGTCTTTCTTCCTCCAAGTTTCTTTTATGATTTGTTCTTTGTTCGACTGCCCCTAGTGGTCTGGAGCACTTCCGTTTTTGTGGAGGGAGCTTGCAGGTGTTTTCACTGTTTGCAACGTTTTTTTGTTTGTTGCATGTGTTGCATTTGTGTTTGCATGTGTTATTGTGTTTGCATGTGTTATTGTGTTTGCATCTTTTTTGTGTTTGCATTTGATATTTTAGTGTTTGCGTTTGTTTTTTGCTTGCATTTTTTTGTGTTTGCGTGTTTTTTTGTGTTTGCATTTGATTTTTTTGCATTTGTGTTTGTTTTTTGTGTTTGCATTTTGTTTGTGTTTGCGTGTTTTTGAATTTGCATCATACATGTGTTTGCTGCGCGTTTGCACCCGTCGGCCACCTTAGTAAATGAGGACACAGGCTGTGTTGTAAAGTGCTTTGAGTGTCTTGAATAGATAGAAAGGCGCTATATAAGTACAGTCCATTCACCATTTTTTAGTCATGATTTGTCCAACACAAACACCATGTTTGACCATGAGTGTCTATAAGTGCATTTGGCACCAGGACGCCCTAGGTCCTAGATCAAAGATTGGCTTTGTAGTTGTGTCATCATAACTTCTGATCTGCTCATTATAATTTAACAAAGCATGATACACATTTGGTCCACCACTAGACAGCTTATCACATAATCTTTGGATTTATCCCAGCCTTAAGGTCAAGGTCACAGATTAAGGTCAAAGGTTACACAAGATCTTTGCCTGCACCATTGCTTTGGATTGCTGCACAGTATATTGTTTTTCGACTGACTTGAAATGTGCTGTACACAATACTGTTGTTATTTCAGGCTGAGATAGTTTTAAAAGATTGATTAGTTTGAGGTGGACATACTCAAAGTATTTTTCTGCAGGTTGTCAAGTTTTCCCTCAGGGAACAATTATTCTCATACAGTTAAAGCAAGTTTGCAGAGCTAAACCTCCGCAGTAACTTCCATCATCTGAAAACGGGTTGGAAGGTAAAGCATAGCAGCTCTGAGCTGTAATCCATCACCTCTTAAATCACGGACTTCACTCAACTGACTCAACATCCCCAGTTCATGATGCAATTCTTTTTTCGGTGGAAGTAAAGTAAATTGAGTGCGGTTGTCGTTTAGAATGTGAACAGCTGTAGAAAGCATTATCAGTATTAATCAGGTCCCTGTGACTGAGTCATGTGGTAAGAGGATTACAGCAGCTGGGGCAACATAACTTAGCTTCCACATCAGGAAGAAAAAAACACATCAGGATATATGTGTATAATAGGTGTGAGGGAGGGTCTTTTGCATTATACTGTATTCTATTAAAACATTTAGACAAGTTAACATTTTAGAAAATCTAAAGTAATGATTAAACAACAAATTGGGTATTAAAACTACATAAAATCACTTCGTAATTTTTAGGCCCACAATAATCACTAATTGGGCCATTTATCCTTCCACCTGTGATCACAAAGCGAGTTACACAAAGGATTATTTATTCTGATCACATAAAACATTTGATTACTTGATTACTTTTAACTTTGACAGACACAAATTAAATATTTATTGATTAATCAACAAACGCACATAATTGTTTATTGATCATTCATTAGACTTTGAGATTACTTCTCACTTTCCATCTTACCAGACATGGGTCTTTGGGTCCTGACCTCAACACTATTTTTGACCACCTAACTTGACATAACTAACTTTGAAATGTCTCTCTCATCTTATAGAAAGATTTGCAGTTCTTTGCAGGTTCCTTTAAAATTTGTGCCGCAGTCAGATCGAATCACTTTTGCAGGACCACGGACATCGAAGAAGCATCGTATAGCATTGATAAAGCTTGATGTGTATTCTATACGTTCAATATGTAAAGCACGTACACTAAGGCATGTAAAAAGTACTGCCTATCTTTTACTGTTTGCTGCACCTCCTCGAGTACGATGAGTGGAGACAGTCCAGGGACCGAACATGTCCAGGCCTACGTTTGTAAAAGTATGTTCCACGCCGAGACGATCTGATGGTAGATCTGCCATCTGCTGGAATGCCACAAAGTTTATTACATGTGACACACTTTCACAGAATCTTAGTAATAGTCTTTCTTGCTCCAATAATCCATGCTAGCTATGCAGGTTGCTCCCTCAGTGAAGACTCTACCTTGATGTTTGACTCTTTTGTGGTAGTGGTTCACCAACAAAGAAGCAACATGGCTGCAACCAGGAATTACAAGTAGTTTTTTTTCCTCCTCTACATCAAGAGGGGCATGGTGGAGTCTACCTCCTATCTGT